TAATGGTAGATGAACCCATATGGTTAGTCATGGCCTAAGAAGCGCAACCAGAGAATGAGATTCCCCAGGGATAAGGATCTAGATCATCATACCCCACTGTATATCTGAAATAAATCCCCATTCATGGGGTGTGTGAGAGAGATACTTTTGGATATGTTGCAAAGTTGGATCTGATAATTTGTTGTTCGTTTTGTTTTGTTTTGTTTGCTTCTACGTTCATGAGGCACATTGGTCCATAATTTTCTATTGTAACACTGGTCTTGGTATCAGATAGGCCACCATGCTCAGCTTAAATTCAATTTTTTTTTAATGGCTGTAGTATAACTCAGGTTATTTGTTTCATCTTGGTCAAGTGTTTGGTAGTTTTTGCTTTTCAAAGAATTGATGCATTTCATCAAATCAATGGCTGTATAGTTTGTTCATCATACTCCCTTACTAAGCTTTGCAGGTACCATATGAAGCTATGAGGATGAAATGACCCAGCAGAATTGCTCCAACCAGAGTTCAATTCCCAGGTCTCTGTTCACCTGGATCAGTCACTGTAATTGGCATATGGAAGGGCTTTGACCTCAGACAAGGCAGGCTCTCTGCCACCCAAGTGACCCCTGAAGGAGCTGACAGTTACAAACCAAACTGTGAATTAATAAAGAAGTCTCTAAATTAATAAAAATGCTTTCTACTCTGCTTTTGTGCTTGAATGGCATTTGAGATAGCATATCACTCGATGCTTAAATATATTTTCTATCAGAGCACGAGGGTGTTGCTTCACTCTCTCCTTGGACCCCATGTTGCTGCTGAGGGCAGACATCAATCTGAAACTTATTCCCTAGTTGGTAATTTGTTGCTTTCTCCTCCTCTTTAACTTTTGGAGTGTTTTATATTCCTCAGTAATGACACTGTGCTGCAACCTCTGTTGCTGTCCATCTGTTTTCTTTTACCTTTTGAGGGCAAGTGAGTTCCTATAAGCTCTGGGAGTCATTCACGCTGTAATGTTGCTGCCATCYATTTCTGTACTTTCTTTCTCAGGGACAGACACTCAACCATGGCAGAAACTTCTGGATCACTGCTTATTTTCTCTAACCTTTTCATTTCTTTGCCCTGTTGTGCTGCAATCCAGGGTTATTCTTCATGTCAAACATTGCACTCACTAATCTGCACTTTAGATGTCTTTTTTGCTACTCATCCCATCTGTTAATTTTGACAAGCATTTTTCCTAAGGTCCATAAATAATGGTTTGCTTTTTTCATACTTAAGATATTTTCCTCTGTCCACTGAGCATATTAAATTCACTTTTTAAACCTTTCTTAAGACTTTCCCTTGGCCATTGTGTTTCCGCTTATGGGGTTTAGGGATGTTTTTTTTCATGCTGTGGCTTTCCAAAGTTTGATGGTTCTTGTTTGGGTGTCCCTCTTTGTATTTTGACTTTCCCACAGCTGGTTGATAATTGCCATGTCCCTGACTCTGAGGATTACAAGGGAGGTTTGAGGCAGGCTCATGGCAGGCTCATCAGTCTCCTGGTTAAGGAYATGACACAAGGCCCTGCCACTCCTCCTCAGCACACTCTCAAGAGAGGGCCACCTGGACACAAGCCCTCTCTTGCCAGCTGCCTGGTTCCCTGGAGAGCTGGTTAGTACATTGCAATCAGCCCCTGCAGCAACCAAAGCCAGCTGCTTGGACAGCCTATGTAGCCACTCTTTCCTTTTTGCCCAAGACCTTTTTTATAACTTATTTTCTTTCAGTCTTTTTTCACATATGCCTTCTTTTAGAGATTTCACATAATTTCTATCTACTGATTATCCCTTCCTATTTAGGTACAATTAGAGATTTTGGAATTAATATATTATTTTTCTGTTGTTCCTATGAATTCATAGAAGGAAAGGAAGTCCTGAACCTGTGCTTATACATTTGGATCCATTTTCTCTTGGATGTTTTCTGAGTTTTCTATGTGGTTATGTTTCCTTCAGGTTTAGGATGAAAACCTAAACAAATTTTAGCCAGTGACTGAGAATTTTCTTCTGCAGATGGTTTGTCTCTGATTTTTTTTTCAGTTGTTAATGGACCTTTATTTCATTTAGTTATATGTGRTGCTGAGAATCAAACCCAGTGCCTCATACATGCTAGGCAAGCGCTCTACCACTGAGCCACAACCCCAGCCCTGTCTCTGCTTTTTAATTAGAATTTTAGTTTTCTCTTGTCCTTCCTTCCTTCCTTCCTTCCTTCCTTCCTTCCTTCCTTCCTTCCTTCCTTTCTTTCTTTCCCTCCCTTCCTTCCTTCCTTCCTCCCTTTTCTTTCTTTCTTTCATCTTTCTTTCTACATTTCAATGTAAATGTACCTGGAGAGGAGAGAACAGCCGTGGCACAAAGCCAGTGAGGATGCCAAGAAGAGTGCCCAAGGCATTGGTGTTGAGAGGGAGAGAACCTGGCAGAAAGAGGAGTCCACACAGGGGTCCAAGGTCATATCAATAATGTGTATCATATCCCATGGGATGAGGAAGGCAGCCTTGTCTCATAGTTAAGTCAGAACTTGGGCACTATACAGAGAATTGATACATAGAGGGTGTCCTGACATTTCCTGACAGCTCTAGATGGGYGAGAGGGGCATTTCCACAGAGTAGCAGAACAATGAGGGGACAGAACCACATGAAGAGAACAATCGTCCACTGAGGTATCAGAGCCCAAGCAAGGTAGAGAAGGTGTTTGTACAGGAAAGAGATCAGCAGAAACCATGGAAAATTAGGTAACTGTAAGGAAGATCAAATAAGAAAATTAAGAGAGGTGCAGTGGCACATGCCTGTAATCCCAGCAATTTGGGAGGTCGAGGTAGGAGGATTGCAAGTATGAGGCCAGCCTGGGCAACTCAGCAAGACCCTAACTCAAAATAAAAAGATAGAAAGGGCTGAGGATGGATGTAACTCTGTAGTGAAGCACCCGAGCTCAATTCCCAGTATCAAAAAAAAAAAAAAAAAAAAAAAAAAGCAAGGAGAGAAGAATATGGAAAGGAGAAAACTAGAATGAACTCAGTGAGTTTAGATTGGGATTGAAGGTCTCAAAGGAACTCACAGATTCCAACATAGAAAGATATAGAAATAAACAGTGATGTGAGTATTGTTTGTGCATGTATGCAAACATATACTTCCCAGCCCTGCCCACTGAGATGGTCTGGGAGCAGGGCTAGATCACCTGTAAGAGTTTTGTGGATCATTCCAGCCGACCCCAGAATTTGCTTTTTCCATGTCCACCAGCATTTAAAGTCTATGTCTGTTTTGTGGATGATGCTGATTTTTTTTTAGCTTTATTGAGTTTTAATTGACATGTTAAAAATATATAAATACAGGGGCTGGGTTGTGGATTGGGGCTGAGTTGTGGCTCAGTGGTAGAGCGCTCACCTAGCATGTGCAGGGCCCTGAGTTTGATCCTCAGCACCACATAAAAATAAATAAAGATATTGTGTCCAACTACAACTAAAAAATAAATTAAAAAATATATATATACACACAATCATATTTAAGGTGTACAACTTCATGTTTTAAAGAACAGCAGAACAATGAGGTATCACAGTATTTGACATTTATCCTAAAAGGTGGGGGTCATTAGCTCTGTTTCACAACTCATGAAACTGAGACTTAGAGAAAGGAATCAATTTGTCCCGTAGCCACATGGCAGTGACAGACAGAGCTAGGGACCTGACCTAGATCAGAGAGTGACAGAAATCCTTCAGAGAGAGAGAGTGAAAGACCCAGGCACTGAGGCAAAAGAACAGAAAACAAAGAGTTAATACCTAAGTACAAGACAGAGAGTTGGAGCCTGAGAGCCCTGGGCATKGTCTCAGAACCTCTGTGAGCTACAAGATTAGGTCACCAGGGAAGAGTCAATAGAGCAGGGCTGGATATAGAGCTCTGAAGGAAAGGACTCTTCTTTGAAGCAAACAACTCAGACCTCAGACTCCTCCCTCTCTGCAGGGACCTGTGAGATAGCAGTATCCAGGCAAGAAGAGGGGCAGACTGGCTTTAACCTCTTAATTGGCCTTTTATTACCAACTAGCCCCATTTCCACTCCCAAGTAGCAGCATGTCACAGGAAGGGACTTTCAATTCTACCTGGATCATCCTGTACAGAGACAAGACAAAGCTAAGGCTTCCTCAGCTCCAGGGTCTGTGATAGCTTGAGGTGTGACACTCACCTTAGGGTAGGGCTGGCAGTAGAATGCCATMTCCCCCGTCCCCATGCTGTGAGAGACCTCTCACACTGGCCATGGGTGGAGGAAAATGAATCCTAGCCCCCATCTGGGCTGAAGGGTAAGGGACACATGATGTTTAAGGTGGGAATGAGAATTTGAGGGGCTGGGGGTATAGCTCAGTTGTTGAAGTGCTTATCTTATACGCACAAGGCTCTAGGTTCAATCCCCAGCACCACCAAAAAAAAAACGAGAGAGAGAGAGAGAGAGAGAGAGAGAGAGAGAGAGAGAGAGAGGGAGGGGGGGGAATGAATTTGATTGGGCTCTCTAACAGCTTCCTGTTTGGGTCTCAAATTCTTACAAGCTGTCCTCAGGGATACAACCCCAGTTGTGCAGGGAGACAAGATTATGGGCTTGTGGTGGGTGGGCTTTTCTTAATCATGGTRATAAGGAACAAGCCCTGAGCAACTAGGCCCAGCTGGGTGAAATTCCTGGCAAATGTACCGCCATTGCTATGACCCCCAYCCTGAATTTCTACTTTACACAGTTTTGGAGAGAGTGTGCCATTCCCTAGACCAAGCATGAGTGATGCCCCCCTGGGGTTTGTCAGCCTTATCAATCTGTAACCCCTGCTTTCCTACCTTTGGCGCCATTGCTAATCAATTATAGTCTGCTCAGTCTAGACAAGGAGCTCAGATCCTTCTCTACACAGAGCTTCAGATAACCCCTCAATTCTTTAGCACTAACATACTTGATGTCAAGTGTCTCTCATCATCTACCATGTCCTTCCGCAGTTTGTCAAACAAAGGAAGTATTTGGAAGATCACTTCACTGCTTTATTGGGAGGGGAATACACTCTGTCACAACACAGGGCCCTGAGCCCAGCAGGATCTCCAACTCGAGATGCAGCTGGCTGGCTGTGACTCGGTATTGGCCTTTGATGAGACCCCGGGAAGCACAGGTGTGGCACCTCCAGTAGGCCTGGATAATACGAACAGCATTGAGCACCTGGCAGTAGCGCTGACGGATGCGCCACATGCGGGCCCAGGACTGCAGTCTGACTGCTGCCCACTCCTCCCGTGAAAATTTATCAAGTGTCACCCGGCGCCTCTTCTCTGCAAATTTTGCTTGCATCAGCCTCCACCAGCACTGAATGACCCAAGCCCTGAGGGCAGCGTGTAGCAGTGTCCTACGCACCAGTGTGCCCCGCCACCAAGACTGGATCTTTATAACTGCCTTATCTTCTTTGGAGATCTCATCCTGGATCACTGGAGCCTTGCAAGAAAAAAAGAGGAGACATTCAGAGAATGTTCCCCACCCATTTCAGTCTAAGGTGTTCCAGGAAAGATTTCTGAGTCCCTAGAAACCCTTCTAAAATTGGCTGGAACAAGAAGAGCAGGTCAGTGACCTGCCTCTGTCACCTTCTGCTTAATGGTTACAATCGTATCACCTTGCTCTTTGAGTCCTAGTCTCAGTCTGTAAAATGGGAATACACCTTCCCTGGCAATCAGTTTTCCCATAGATCAGGTTAGCCAAGCTACAGCAAAACTCTATGATATGAGTCAAAAGACAATCATGATCTGCCTAACCAAGACCCATATCCCTTTAGACCCTCCCACCAACTGCTGGGGGGGGAATGGCATCCTTAAGTCATCCTGCCCTCATTCTTGACTCTACCTCATTTTACAAACTACTCCCTCCCTGTCAAGTCCGGGTATTAAAAGTTTTACCCAGCCAGGTGTGGTGGTGCACACCTGTAATCCCAGCTGCTCAGTAGGTTGAGGCAGGAGGATCACGAGTTCAAAGCCAGCCTCCGAAACTTAGCAAGTCCCTAAGCAACTCAGCGAGACCCTGTCTCTAAATAAAATATAAAATGGGCTAAAATATAAAATGAGTTCTATCCCTGGTACCAAAAAAAAAAAAAAAAAAAAGTTTTATCCAACCCAGAAATATCAACCTCTCATCTCTTCCCCCATCTTCACTTCTCTTGACTTTCATAGTTTGAATTAGTTCAACACACACACACACACACACACACACACACACACACACACAATTCTAACAAAGCCAAGCTTCTCACGTCTTGGTCACTCCATTTCATAAACACAACAGTCCCAGCCCCAGCCCCAGCCCCAGCCCACTATGGTCTGAGAAGTCATACTTTTATTAAGTATGACTTACTTCAGTATCGTCCGTTTTCTGTGTCTCAGCCAGAATATCAGTCTGAAAAGGAAACAGGGGAAAAGGATAAACAAGAATGAGTTTATTCCTCTTGGCTTAGGACCATGCAAAAGACATTAGGCACAAGCATTAGGACCCAAGGATCAGTGACACTTAAGGCAAGGCTCCTCCTACCTCTACCTCTGATGGGTTCTCTGATAATAAGGGATTTTCATCTTTATCTTCAGGCTGCTCCTCCTCCTCCTGCAATCAGCAGTTAGGAGAAAAGTAAGAGTAAGGCTGTCATCCCTCTCTCTCCATTCAATAGCCCACACATCCCCAGAGTTTCCCAGAGTCTTCAGATGTCAGAGGGTCCCTGCATCCTGAAATATCTATGGGGGCATCCTTAAAAAGCCTAGTGTATCTGGCTTTCTTGTATTCACCATTGGTCACACAGGGATTGGGTGTAGATGGTTCAAWTCCCCCTCAGGTCTGAATTCCTCTAGCCATGGCATAAGCAGAGAGAGTTGAGGAGGGAGATATGATGTCATAAGGGCTGCTATGACTCGACACCAGATGAATCCAACAGTTGAGCCCTCACCAAGGAAAAGACAAAAGTGCTGCCTTTTTTTTTTTTTAACCATAAATGGCCAAAGCCTGGCTTTAAAGCCAAGGCAGCACAAATACTAGCCCATTGATATACAAGCATATAAAGATAGTCAGTTATTGGTAATAACATTTAATTGAAAAACTTAAATATCCACCAATCGGGGATTGCTTTGGTGGTTTATAATCTGTTTATATCTTAGAATACTGTATATTAAAAATAGTGAGTTGATCTATTATTACTGATGAGGAATTATATCCAAGATGTATATATAAGTGAAAAATTAAAGATCACTATGATCCCATATACATGATTTGAAAATGAATATAAAGGAGAAAGGTAAATACAGAGAGTGTTACCAATGATTACTGTGTTAGTTTTTCATTACTGTGACAAAGTACCTGGAAAAATTAACTTAGAGGAGGAAAGATTTATTTTGGCTCACAGTTTCAGACATTTCAGTTCATGGCTGGCTGGTTCCATTGTTTCTGGGCTGGTGGTGAAGCAGTACAACATGATAGAAGAGCATGGCAAATAAAAACTAATTAACTTATGGCAGCTAGGAAATAGAAAGGGGCCAGGGACAGTATATAGACCCCAAGAACATGTCCCAGGAACCCAGTCCCTTCAGCTAGATCCCACTTCCTATAGTTTCTTCCCCCAGAAAGGAGGAAGAAATGCTACTTCATGAGAATATCAAGAATTTCACCACCAGTTAGGAGATAGAGGGCCACAGAGACTATAACTTGGTCAGTAACCATAACATGAAAACACTGGATGAACTAAAAAAGAAAAATAGCAATTTTCTTTAAGTTGTCAAAGAAAAATAGATATAAAAAGTGTACATAAATTCAATTTCAATCCTTTTCTAGTTCATGACTGTGGTTATTTACCAAAACTCTGGACACAGGAACAGAGAGCTGTGAGCCTTCCAGATGCAGAGTAATGTTGTGGGGTTGAGGAGAAATCAGTTGAACATTCAATGACTGCACATGAGCTGCTAGAGTAACCAGAAGCTGCAACCATGATTTTCTCCTTGGGACTCCATCAGACCGGAGACCGGTCTGGCAGGCAAAGCAAGATTTCCAGTCTAATAGTGCAGTGATTCCATACTTATGCTGGAACTAAAGGGTCTAATCCCACCCTCAAGACACCTGAAACTGAGATGAATGAAAACTAGGTAGTGACAACTCGGTCCCAATCTAACTGAACTCCTGTTTAATGGGAAAATGGCCTAGCTCAGTCTCTAATACATTTATCCTGTGTTTGGCATATATTTTTAAAAAATGAGACACATGAAGAAGCTGGGAAAAGACTGTGACTTGTAACCAAAAGGGAAAAAATTAATAGAGGAAGACTCACAGATGACTCATATGTTCAAATTAGCAGACAAGGACTTTAGAATATCTAATATGATATAAATATGGATGGATTGGATAAATATTTTAGAGGAAAAGGTGGAAAAATGAAAGAAAAGATGTCAGATTCTGATGATGCTGTGGTTTGGATATGGTTTGTCCCTTAATACTTGTGCATTAGAAGTTGGCCCCTACAGAGGCAATGGGAGATCTTTAAGAGGTGAGGACTACAGGGAGCTAGCTCCTCAGGTCCTTGGGGTCACTGCCCTTGGAAGGGAATGTTGTTTCCTGGACTGAAATTCTCTCAAGAGGAAGTTAGTATAAGAGTGAGGCTGACCCCTGACTTGCTCTTTAACTTCCTGTTCAGTGATATGATCTCCCCCTTTCATACATGCTCCTGCCATCCTCCATGAAATGCTCCCCAGAAGTATGGTGATATCAGCACCGTGCCTCTGAGCCTCCAGACTGAGCTAAATAAATCTCTTTTCTTTAGAAAGTTATCCTGCATCAGCTAATTCATTATAGTAACAAGCTATTACAGGCAAACAAATGGAAACTCTTTTTTAAAATAACAAAAGAACTAAATAAAACCTCTAAAACTTAAAAATAAAGAATTTAAAGAGAAAAGTGGACAATATAACTAAAAAGATGAGGGATATTGGCAAACAAATGGAAGCTCCAGAAAATGGAACAAAAGAACTATATGGAAATTCTAACATTGAAAAATACAATGTACAAAATACTGGATTATAAAACCTCAAGGCAAATCAAAAAATTATGCAATCTTGTGCTAGTCAGCTTTCCACTCCCATGACAAAATACCTGAGAAAATCAMCCTAAAGATCTGGCATGCTTTTGGAGAGGTTGGCAGCTTGGTGCTGGAGGCCTTCAGGCAAAGCAATTATGTCAAACAAATTTACTATTCAGACAAATATGACAACAAGGAGTTCAAGTACTGGCATGTCATGTTGCCCAAGGACAGAGCCAAACTGGTCCCTAAAACCCACTGAATCTGAATGGAAGAATCTTGGTGTCAGGGATGGGTTCATTATATGATCCATGAACCAGAACTTCATATCTTGCTATTTTGGCAGCCACTACCCAAGAAGCCAAAGAAATGAAGCCTCCAGCTTTACATAGCTACCCTAACTTTCTGATATCTTTCTGATAACATGATCATGTTTCCTTCTTGTTTTCTACTTTTATATTTAAAGGATACTCAATACACTGTATGAATGTGCTGATAAGGCTTTGTTTGTAGAATAGAGCCACCACTGCTGGCCCAGATGAGTGCTTTGTGGCCCACAGCCTTAGCCACAGTGTGCTTTGTATCCAGCAGAACACACTTGGCAGATGGATGGAGCATCTGAGAATCAGACCGTGGCTGTTACAGGGATTGTGTAAACTTGCTGTTTTGTTTTTTTCCTGCTGGGTGTTATTATATATGGTGATTTATGGATTTATGTTTCATTGTATTGGAAACTTTCCATTTTAATTGATAAATCTGTTCCACCTTAAAAGCCTTGATTAAAGTGGAAGTTTTTATAATCTAAAATAAATTAATAGATAAATAAATAAATAGATGGAAAGATTTATTATGGCTCATAGTGGCAGAGGTTTTAGTCCATGGTCAAGTGGCTCTATTGCTTMTGAGCTGTGAAAAGCAGAACATCATGGCAGGGAGCATGTGGTGGAGCAAAGCAGATTACCTTGTGRCAGTCAGGAAACAAAAATAAAGTGAGAAAAGGGCTGGGGATATAGCTCAGTTCAAGCATTCACAAGGTCAGATTTCATTTGACCTCATGATTCAAACACCTCCTAAAGACCTTAACTCTGCATTGGAATCCAAGCCCTAAACCCATGAATGTAATAATCACATATAGGCACAAATAGTCAAATTGATGAAAAYCAAGGATTAAAAGAAAATTCTAAACTCAAAAGCCAGAGAAAAAGGCCACATTACATTTAAAGAAATAATAATAAAAATGATAGATGACTTGTCATCAGAAACAAATGGAAGCAAAAGAAAATGGAATGACGTTGTAAAGTGCTAAAGAAGAAGAAAGAAAATAAAAGCCAACGTAAAATTTGATACCCAGAGTAAACATCCTTCAAAAATAAAGATGGGAAAATAAAATATAAGAAGATCTGTTCTTATCACTTCTCTTTAACAATATACTAAAAGTACTGACCAGTGTAATCAAGCAAGAGAATGAAATGTAATGTCTTAAAGAAATAAAATCGTGCTGAGTGCCGCGGCACACACCAGCAACTCAAGAGGCTGAGACAGGAGCACTGCAAATCCAAGGCCAGCCTCAGCAACTTAGGAAGGCCCTAAAAAACTTAGTGAGACCCTGTCTCAAAATAAAAAATAAAAAGGGGTGGAAGTAGCTCAGTAGTAGATTACCCCTGGTTCAATTCCCAATGCCAAAAAGAAAGAMGAAAAATTATGCTATTCATATATATCATGGTTATGTGCATACAAATTTTCAAAGAAGGAGCTGAGGACATAGTGCAGTGTAGAGCACTTGCCTAGCAGGTGCAAGTTTTGCACACTACCAAAAAATCCTAATAAATCTAAAATAAAAAAGCTACTAGAACTAAAAAGAAAATTTGGCAAATTTGCAAGATGTCCATTGTGATGGTTACATGTATCTGTAGATATTGTAAAAACCATTGAAAGGTACATATTAAATGGGTGAATTGTATCATGTGAATTATATCATAATAAAATTAATTAAGAATAAAAAAGGCCCAGACTGGTGGCAGCTTGGGAGGCTGAGGCAGGAGAATCACAAGTTCAAAGCCAGCCTCATCAACTTAGCAAGACCCCAAGCAACTTAGCAAGACCCTGTTTCAAAATAAAAAATAAAAAGGGCTAGGGATTGTGGTGAGCCGTTTCTGTGAACTGTGGCCGCCATTACAAGATGGCGCTGGTTTCCCCTGTAGTCTGTGACAAACAACTCCTTATCAGAATGAGTTGGCACGCTGTGACTTGGCACCCTATGAGAAAAGTCCACGTGGCAGTTGTGCATTGGGGCTTTATCTGCTTTATTAAGGCTGGGGCACACGGCAGTAGTAGTAGTGGCAGTAGTAGTAGCAGTAGTAGTAGTGGCAGTAGGAGTAGCAGTAGAAGTAGTAGTAGGAGTAGCAGTAGAAGCTAAAAGACATGTCAATACAAAGGCCTGAATAAACAGCTGAAAGAAGAAAAAGTATCAAGGACCTGAATAAACTGCTGAAAGAAGATTCCTGAGTTGCGTCTTCCTTGCGGGCAAGGGGTCGCGACAAGGGATATGGCTCAGTGGTTAATGCCCCTAGGTCAATACCCAGTATCAAAAAAGAAAAAGAATAAAAGGCATCATTTTTTTTTAAGATACAAAGGAAATATACAAAATTCAACTGTATTCTATACATCAATGAACTGTTGGGAAATTCTTGATATAGTAGTAAAAAGGTGAGGGAGTTACATTATCTCATTTTAAGACTCATTATAAAGTGACAGTATGGGCTGGGGATGTGGCTCAAGTGGTAGCGCGCTTGCCTAACATGCGTGAGGCACTGGGTTCGATTCTCAGCACCGCATAAAAATAAAAATGAAGCTATTGTGTCCATCTAAAACTAATAAATAAATAAATAAATAAATAAAGTGACAATAACCAAAACAATGTGCTGTAACAATAAATAAACAGATCAATGAAACAGAATAGAGAAGCAGAAATACACTCACATTTATATGGTCTATTGATTTTTTTTTGAAGCGTACCAGGATAATTCAATGTAGAAAGAAAATGCAGTTTTTGATCTTAAAAAAAAATTTGACCCTTATTGAACACCATAGACCAAAAAAAAATAATTCAAGATGGATCATGGACCTAAACAAAAAATAAAACTATAAAACTTCTAGAAGAAATTCTATGAGAATTATTCTGTGTCCCTGAAGTTGATGAAAATTCTTTAATCAAGAYACAGAAAATACTAATTATTTTTTWAAAAAACTAATTATAAAATACTGATCAATTGGACATTGTCCAAATTAAAAYCTTTTGTTCATCAAAACAATCACTTAAACTACAGGTTGGGGAAAAAACATTTACAATCC